CAATCAATACACACTCAATGCCAGCCGTTAGACATTTTATTTGATTACTTTGACCTGTCATATAAACCAGCATCAACAATTAGCAGTTCAGACACTCGCACTGAAGAGCAACATCAAAACGTCGCACAGGAATAGACTCCGAGGAATTTGTTTGAACATCAATCCTGTACGAACGCTGAAAGTCCTCCAAACCCACCAGTTCAAACACCCAGCATCGAGCCGACAACCGACTCTCATAATCCAATCCCAGAACCGTCGGTAGTTCCTCAAGAGCTGAGACGTTCATCGAGACGCAAGAGAACTCCGGCCTGGGCTCCCGATTACCATCTTTTTAAAAGGAAGAAGGATGTTGGCAACCCCAAAAATGTAGACTTCTATGCTCATATGTTTGTAGAATAAGTATCCGCTATTTGTATCCCGTTTCGTAGCTTACGGCGTATTACTTCTTTTCTATTCCGTATGTCTACTAATAAGCACGTTGCAGCATAATACGCGGTAAGACTTTATTTAAATTTGTATAATTGTATGTATATTTCTAAAACCTAATTTGTATTGTATTTGTATTATCTTGTAAATAAAGATTAAGCTACGGCTTCACTCATCATAACAATTTTATATTTTACAGCTCTCTTGCACTTCTCTAGATTTTGGGTGACTTGCAGCCTTATGTACGCAAAAGTTCCAGTCCTGGGAGCAAAGCGAATGGATCAACATCGCTTTGGGAAGGAGCACCGTACCATTGTTGACGTTACCGACACAATGTCGTGCGCGTGGAGTCGGTGATGTACTAGGTAACGATTAACTGGGGATGAAGTATCGAGATGGTGATCGCCAATCGTGGTTATTGGACGATGCCGGGTATGCTCTGGAACCTTTTCTGTTGACACCGTATATAAATCCGTAGCCACGGTCTATACAACACGCATTTAATCGAACACATTCTTCCGCACGTAATATTAGAGTTCTCAAAAGTCGTTTTCAGTGTTTATTAGTAACCTTGCTGTACAAACTATGAGAGGTTGTGAAAATAATTAATAAATGACTGACTGAATTTGACTATGAAGAAGTTGAAGAAAACGATAGAGAAGTATGTAGATTGTGAAGTAGAATTATTTGCACCAACATAAATTTATTTGAAAAGTGAAGCACAAATAATTGGATACGAAATTGCGAATAAAATTACCCCTATTTAATTAAGTTCCTTAGGGTATAGTCGTTGCGCTGGATATGCAGTTACAGTTGCATGGCTATACTCAATCCCGACTCTTGCGTCCTCGTTCGCGCACTCTGGGCATCGTGAGCAACCCATGTGCGAGATGCGGTAACCAATCCGAGTGGAGCCTTGGGTCACGGCAGAGAGAGGGAGCTTCGGTGGGGCCACTCCGACTTATTCGGTTTAAGGGCTTACTGAAGTCTGCAGCGTCTGTTCACCAGTAGGTGCGGCTGCAAGCGGGTGTCTTGATTGGAGCAAGTGGCTCGCTATATAAACGTGTATTTGGTTGCGAAACCACCCCGATCCCAGCAATGGGTTGTACGCTGGGCTTGGGACCCGCCACGTAAAAACCACTTCCAGTGAAGACGCAAGGCAAAGCCTCAGCCTCCACGACGAAGCGCCCGACAACGGGTTGAGGCCGATCGACTTCGCCGGGGCCCGAAACGAGAAACCAAATCGATCATGTTGATAGACGGAACGCACGCTTCCACTGTTTTAGACGTACGCACACTTCCGAGGCCCAAACATCGACTCGGACCACTATCTTGTTGCAGCCAAGATACGCACCCGCCTCTG